GTCTACCTACACACACGCATATATATGTATATATGTATATATATATATATATATATATATATATATATATATATATATATACATATCTATATATATACATAGATGTGTGTGTGTTTATATCAATACATACATACATACATACATGTATATAAATATATATATATATACATATATATATATATATATATATATATATATATATATATATATATATATGTACGTCCTACACACATGCAGATCTTATGTAGATTAAGAACATAATGCAATAATTTGTTTTACTCACGGTGTTCATGATTGGTCAAACATTTGTTATCTTCACAAACAAGTGTACTCAATGTCTTAATGGATAACAAAAACAAATATTTGCTCGTGAGCATTGTTTATTGCCAATTACCTTTGCCGAATGTTGAAAAAGTTGCGTGGATGGGTTGTCTGGATCGGGAATTTCTGGCGAAAGAAAAAGATGGAAAGAATTATTTTTGCCAAGAGTGTGTAAGAAGGCACTTATCTTTATCTTTTACTTGTAAAGTTTGATTTGCTGTTTCCTTTCGCCTGTCTCATCAAAGCCAATGCTATTCACTGCTGTCACTCCGCTTTTTTCCTTCGAACTTCCCCCTTTGCAGTTGTTGCTCTCTTACAATATAACAACTTTTATCTTATACTCACAGCGTCCAAAGCCGCCTCCAAATCCTCCTCCGGCTCCGGATCCGCCTCCAATTCCCCCGCCGCCTCCGAATCCTCCACCTCCGTTGTGCCCTCCACCAGCTCCTCCTCCAAAGCCTCCACCAGTTCCACCGTTGTGATTTCCGTGGTGGCCTCCACTGCCTCCTCCGCCGTGGTGGCCTCCACTGCTTCCTCCGCCGTGGTGGCCTCCACTGCCTCCTCCGCCGTGGTGGCCTCCATTACCGCCGCCGTTGTGGCCGCCTCCACCTCCGCCTCCAATCCCAAATCCTCCTCCTCCTCCCCCCCCGAGGCGACGGGCCTGAGAAGCCGACACCAGCAGCGCGAGGGCCAGCGCCAGCGCCAGTGTCTGTCCCTTCTGTCAAAGTTAATAATTGTTCTTAGAATAAGTTTGTCACTCACTTTAACCTCATGAATATCTCATGAAATATGGAGTACATAATATAAGGTTTTCTTAAACTGAAGCCTCTTAGCAAAGTCCATTTCTTTTTCTGTTTCCTACATTTGTAAGGCCTACCGGAAACAGTTTTCATGATTTCCTTTTCTTTCTCTTCTGATAGCCACTGCTTTCTATCTCTGAATAACTCGCACCATAGTGTAATAGGATTATAAGAAATAAGCTAAACGCCCAGTGTGATTTTACACTATTCGCTAGTGGATGAATATGCTGGATACCACGATGGACCAAAGAAGTTAAAATGGATATCGTTCAGAAATTGGTGCAGAACAACTGCACTGATCTTACCATCTTTGCAGGAAGGTTGCAAGCAGGGTCTGTCCTCTGTGCATGAACTGAAGCCATTATATACGATGCTAGTATAACATGCACACACGCACACACACGCACATACTATCACCCCCCCCCCTCATGTCAACGAACATACGTCTGTCTGTCTGGAAATGACTTCAGTTCTGTTTTCTGCGAATGCTGAGTCACGTGACCTAATATACGGGAGCGGGAATCCCCCGAACGTGACATAGAACCTGGTGCTCCGGGTCCTCCGCGGAGGAGGCAGGGCGAGGGGAGACGAGAAAGAAATTGGAAGACAGGAGGCGAGGATTAAGGATTAGTAGAGACTGGATATGTCGTTTTTTTTTTTTTTTTGCTTTTTTCGTCTGACACCCAAGCGGAAGCAGAAGGGAAACAAGAGATGTTTGTTAACTAAACAAAGGGTTCGGTGCAACGGCTCCCGCGATTTCCAGGAAGTTGCGCGCACACACGCATAGCCATCGTCTTCCAAATGCAAAGGGCAATGGCCACGAAGCGTTGACTGGCAAGGGAAGTGAAACAAACATAATGAAAGGTTTTGGAGGAAAGCACATATATAAATACATACATATATGTGTGTATATATATATATATATATATATATATATATATATATATATATATATATATATATATATATATATATATGTATATATATGTATATATATATATATATATATATATATATATATATATATATATATATATATATATTATATATATATATAACCACACACACACACATTTACATATATATATATATATATATATATATATATATATATATATATATATATATATATATATATATATATATAAATATATATATATATATATATATATATATATATATATATATATATATACATATATATATATATATATATATATATATATATATATATATATATATATATACATATATATATATATATATATATATATATATATATATATATATATATATATATATATGTATATATATATATATATATATATATATATATATATATATATATATATATATATATATATATATATATATATATACATAGTGAGAGAGAGAGAGAGGTTAGACAGAGGGTTAGAGAGAGAAAGGATGGAAACATAGAATGAGATAGATAGATAAATAGGCAGAGTTGAGCAGATAGAGGGAGAAAGGAAGAAAGAGAGAATTAAAAAAGGACCATTAATAAAATTTCCAGTGCAAGGAGAGTTCGTTACACGCGTTGCATTGCACAAATATTCATAATTCTTTTCAATATTTGCCCCGATGAATCTGAGAGATAGACAGATAGACATACAGATAAAAAATAAATGAGAGACAGACGGACAGGAGGTAGAGGTCATTGTGAAACGATGCATGAAGAATTATTATAATCTTCACCAGTAATAAAGAGATAGATAGATAGATGGAGAGTGTAGAGATATGTAGATATGTAGAGAAGGAAAGTTTGAGATAGAGAGGGGGAGTTTAAGAATGAAAGAAAGAGAAAAAGAGAGAGAGAGAGAGAGAGAGAGAGAGAGAGAGAGAGAGAGAGAGAGAGAGAGAGAGAGAGAGAGAGAGAAAGAGCAAGAGAATAAAATCAAAAGATCGAGAAACAGAAGAAAATGGAAGAGCTTCCCTCTTACCTCCCCCCACGTCTGATTCGTTTAGAGATAAAATATGCACAGATGACTTGCAGAGTATTGACCTCCTTCGAATGACACAGGAGAGCAAGGGAGCGAGGGAAGAGACGGGAGGGGAAGGAGGAGAGGGGAGGGGGAAGAGAAAAAGGGAGGGGAGGGGAAAGAGGAGAGGGGAAGGGAGGAGGAAGAGGAGAGGTGAAGGGAAGGGGAAGAGAAGAGGAGAAGGGAAAGAGGAGAGGGGAGGGGAAGAGAAGAAAGGAGGGGAGGGGAAAGAGGAGAGGGGAAGGGAGGGGGAAGAGAAGAAGGGAGGGGAGAGGAAAGAGGAGAGGGGAAGGGAAGGGGAAGAGAAGAGGGGAGGGGAAAGGGAGAAGGGGAAGGGAGGGAGAAGAGAAGAAGGGAGGGGAGAGGAAAGAAGAGAGAGGAAGGGAGGGGGAAGAGAAGAGGGGAGGGGAAAGGGAGGGGAGGGAGAAGAGAAGAAGGGAGGGGAGAGGAAAGAGGAGAGGGGAAGGGGAGGGGAAGAGAAGAGGGGAGGGGAAAGGGAGAAGGGAGGGGAGGGAGAAGAGAAGAAGGGAGGGGAGAGGAAAGAAGAGAGGGGAAGGGAGGGGGAAGAGAAGAGGGGAGGGGAAAGGGAGGGAGAAGAGAAGAAGGGAGGGGAGAGGAAAGAAGAGAGGGGAAGGGAGGGGGAAGAGAAGAGGGGAGGGGAGAGGAAAGAGTAGAGGGGAAGGGAGGGGGAAGAAAAGAGGAGAAGGGAAGGGAGGGGGAAGAGAAGAGGGAAGGGGAAAGGGAGGAGGGGAAGGGAGGGGGAGAGAAGAGGGGAAGGGAAGGATTATTAGACAGGCGATGGATAGGAGATGGGAAGGGGGAAAGGAGGAGTGTGTAGATGAGAGGGGAGGGGGAAGTCAAGAAGAGAGGTGGAAATGGACAGGGGAAGGAGAGGGGAGGGAGAGGCGAGGAGAGATTGGGGGGGAAGTAAAAAGGGAAGGGGTAGGATAGGGATGGGGGAGAAGAAAGGAGAGGGAGGGGGGGTAGAGGAATGCATATATAACCCACGAGCTTTCCTCAGGGACGTTAGTAATTGTGTTGCCGAAGGTCTTTCGGATTCTCAAGGTAATGCAGCAGCCTAAGGTACTGTGATTTGCAGAGTGTCATTCCGGCGGTAGAGGGATAATATATTAGTTCATTAAGACATTCTAGCATCAAGGTTTATCGTAACACGTTCATCTCTTTTTTCTTTTGTAGATGCGGTTCCTAGCTCTGGTTCTGGCAATAGCAGTCGCGGCATCTACAGTGAGTGCCAAGTCTGAGCCTTGCTGCTACGGAGGTCACCATGGGGGTCACCACGGAGGTCACCACGGGGGGCATCATGGAGGCCACCATGGAGGGCATCATGGCGGTCATCACGGAGGCCACCATGGAGGCTTCGGTGGTGGCTTCGGCGGAGGATTCGGACACGGTGGCTTTGGAGGTGAGTCGGCATGACAAAGTGTATGGCCCTCTAGTTTCTAATGGCAATATGATCTCTGCATACTCGCTTATGTCGTTTGTAGGCACATGCACACACAGATATACAAAAGGATATAGATACCAGAATTTTCTTTATTTAACTGTCTTGCAGGCGGCTTCGGCGGGGGATACGGACGATGTAAGTCATTTTCTTTTCCTTTTATGTCCAATATAACCAATGCTGCAGTTGACAATAAGGACGGCGTTGTTTCACTTATTTTAATTCGTTCGTAATTATTTCCCCTTGTGTAGGATCTGCAAATTCCGTTTTCGAAAAGTGTCATGGATAAGAATGCCCTTCGAAGTCGAGGGCGCTCATTCGTACAAAGTTTCATCAGAGACATGAGCTCTTCGTTTGGAGTCTGACATCTCTACTGATTATTCAAATGATAATGAAATACAAGCTAGTTTTATCTGTGATTTTGTTTCATTGCCCTCATTTCTCATTGATTAATCTCAAAATCTCATTTTCTGCTTTTCCCTATGCAAATAAAAATGTATATAAGAATCCTTACTGTTTCGTATCATGCCTTTTCCCAGAATGACATTGACCAACACATAGGGACACACAATACTCATATTGAATGATGTTTGCAGTAAGTATAAAATATACAGCATTGCTTTAGTGACCCTTAATTCCTGATGTATAATGAAAACGATGAAGGTTTTATTATTGCAAGATGACACTAATTTTGTGAAATTCAATATCACAAAAAAGACACACGAAAAGAAAAAAAAATCAGAGTCCATTATTATACGTCACACATCCGAAGATAAATCGTCATATCTTATATCAGAAGAAGAGGAAGAGTAGATACAAGGGACAAACGAGTCAGAGAAAGGTAGGACGAACAGAGAGAAGAAGCGGAGCAAGTGGAAGAAAAGGAGACAGGGAGGGGGTGAGGAACAAAGCGGAATACAGGGAAGACTGGGAAGAGGAAGTGGAAGAGGAGGGATAAAGGGGAGAGGGAAAGGAAAGTCAGGGGTAAGAGGGAGAAAGGGAGGACAAAGAGGAGAAAAGGGAGAAACGCAGGAAACGGATGAAGTAGGAGAGAGGGGAAGAGGACAGGGAGCAGAGAATTGGTAGTGAAATGACCCATGTGGATTTTCCGTCCGTCCGAGCTGGCGGGGGCGAGGAACATTTCAAAAAAAGGCCGGCAAGTCGTGCAGTGACTTTTCTTTTCTTGTGTTGAAATATAATTGTGGAAGTATTAAAATCATACAGCCAAATAACTGAATTCAGAGAATGTTAAGGATATGGTGGAATGGTTTAAACTTAATCTGAGAGAAAATTAAGATTAACTTTGCTTTCTTCACTTTGAATTGTCTAATACTTACGTTTGATCATTGAAAATTGTCGTTAGGAGACTATAAGGGTAATAAAGAGTGTTAACAGGTTAACCATGCTAGTTACTGTCATCTGTTATATAGGAATAAATATTTATAAAGAAATATTTTTTGTAAATGAGTTAACTGTTCCTGAGACTGGACCTACTAAAAACCATTTGCTTTTGTAGATGTTACCGTAGAACTTCATATTCCGCACGTAGACACTGGTCGGCACAGAGTGAATAAGAGGTTACAGATGGCATTTTCTTCAGGCTCTTGTTTTCAGAAGTCTACACTTTTTGTATGCTAGTTTACGTTTTTTCTTCAGTATAGATGCAGTTACATTGCCAAAAGCTTTAAAAATATATCAAATTCTCCTGGTTTAATTTCATTTTAGTTTTGTGTGAATATTGGACAAATTTATGAATAGGTGATTGAAGATGACACTGGAAGTAACTCCTTTACTGTAGGGTCAAACCTCCGAATAAATTACATGCAAACACCATGTCAAAATTAATGACAACCCGGTACAGTCTATAAACTTTAAGTATGCTCTACAGGGTAAACAATAGGAGCCAGTTAAATTATAAAACCTTCTATTGCATTGTCATAATCACACACACACACTATACAATATACTGTATACAGACCACGTCGATGCTTGTACCAGCAGCGTTGCCGCCCACGCTAGCTACCTGCCGGCTTGGACGCTACCTAGCTTCGTTCCCCACGCCGCCCAGCCGCGGCTTTGAGGAATGCTACCTACCCTCGTTCCCCAAGCCAACGCTCGGATATGTAAGGCCTGCAGAGGATCCCTCAAAACAGAGTGTGACGAGAGTGTTCTCTGCCGAGGTGGGTCACGCCTGACCCCGCGGCCAGATTGCCGTTGGTAGGGCTTGCCGTCTGACCTATGCGCCCTCGCCTTAACCCAAACCTTGTCATCTTGTGATTCAACTCCGTGTGCTAGCTCTATCAATAAAAGAGTTCTAGCCACTAAGCTTTTACTTCCCTGTTACCAATGTTAGAGGTGTTTATAATATAACCCTTACACACACACACAGATATATATATGCCTTGCACGATAATAATGATAAAAATTCAATTAACTCATTATAAGAAATATGAAAGGTACACGCTTCCACAAATAATATAAATCATTTATTACAAAACATGACAAGTATGTCATTCACACGGTGCCTCCCCTATTCTTTCATAAGTGAAATGCGTCTTAACCAGAATCTGATTAACAACATCCGTAGGTCCAAAATCACATTAGTACTGCAGCGCAATATTTACATAAATAGGACAATTTCATAATACTTTACATGAGTAGTTAGGATTATGCTCAGCCCTCATAACATTAACCCCCCAAAATATTAATAGCCAATTTAAAGTTGTTTAGTTGTTTATATTTCACAGCACAATTTTCAAGACTCAGGTAACAATTACAAATCGTATCCCACCAATACTGATATTAGCACAATACTATGATAACAGTGTCTTTTGAAATCCAAACAGCTCATGGGTGCAATTAACTAGGCCTACACAACCAGCCAATGTACACGGTGCCGCCTCTCAACACTTGGCTCGGAAAGGACGCTTTGTCAACAGAATATCTAAAAGCGCAAATGAATTTACAATAGTTACACATAACATAAAAACAAATGTTGATTACCATACATCAGCTTTGTTATTTCAATTAATCGAATAATAAGTTTCACCTCAATAAGTAAAGTAAAAAATATATGTATATAAATATAGCATTCCAAACTATGGAGAAAAATGTTTAGGAGAGGATACTGATATTCTCAGTACAGGAGTCGCTGTTTGAGAGCATAAGGACTGACACCTAGGATTGGGAAACGGTTTGAAACTGAATCTAAGGTTATAGTCTTATAAATTCTCATATCCCCATTACATGCTGTTCAGTCGCATCTGTGGTCCTATTTTCTCCAATATCCCAATCCCTATGCATCAATCTTTACAATTCTTTCAATAGAACTCAAGTGAGTTTCCTAAGTTGGTCAACTGATGAGTACAATATCTGCATGCTTTTCATGCTATAAATTTACTTCTCTGCTCCAGTGGATAGAGCTCTTATTTTGTACTAATGTAATTAACTGTGGTTTTGGAATGACTACTGTTTGGAATGGTGCTATCTTTACGTTTTAAATATTTTAACATTTTAATCCCACAAGGTATTCGCTGTGAATGAACTTCGCTGTTGGTTCGTCAGATGATTTTGAATAATCAATCAATCCTCGAGAATCTGTACATAGGGTTATGCCTGGTCTTTGTTGGTGCCAAACCAAAGCCTTGTACCAGGTATGTCCTAAGAAATTATTTTTTATCCATAAAAATGACGTCCAAAAATTATTATGAGTGCTCCACATGCTGACAAGCAAAGACAAAATTTCTATGAGGACGTGATCGGTTATGCCACATTGAGATCTGTCGGCAAACTGTGCTCACCAAATGCAACTATTTCCACACTTAAACGTTTCAAAGCGACACCGGTTTCCAGTCACATGTCCTCACTCAGCAGGAGTTCCGATTCAATGTCACGCTTATGCCTAGCAGGCAAAGCTTATCAACAATATCGCAGCATAATGCCGAAAATTACGTTATTGATCTTTTGTCGCAACATGTTATACTTGTAGTCATAAATAATCTGTCTGGTCTGCCCTTTTCTCTTAAGCCAGAACATAAGAGAGAATAGCTGGATTATTGGACCAGAAGTTCATCTTTCCAAACTTCGTCCATATGTACAACAGGACGCTGATGCCTTGATCAGATGGAGCCGCATTGGAAGGAGATGATGTGCGAAACCTACACCACTAAAGCAATCTTTATTAACTTGGCAGTACTACTTGGTTTTCCGGGTTTTTGCAATGGTGAAATGACAGGCAGTTAATAAAGATGTGGTTCAGTCATGACAGTCTTGCCTGAAATAGTCCTTCCTGTATCAGAAACTGAATAAAAGGCAGCCGAATAAAAGTAAATTTTGCTATCTTCATGTAACTTCTATATTATGGCATCTATCTTGGGTAATGGGTTATAAAACCTGGCGTGGATGTCATTTTCTGTGTAGATGCTCAAACTGCTTTTGATTTATAAATCATACTTTAACAATTGAATGTAATTAACGAAAATTTGCTTTCTTAAGCTAATGATCTGGATTATTGTGGTACCTATGGCAATAATTACTTCCTTTCTCAAACATCTGGCAGCGATGCATTCCTTTTGTCGACGATTGTCCAAAGACTGCAACGACCCAGGTATTGATTGATCATTGTCCGGATTCATTCCACACTCCACAGGCTTTCATACTGTTATACTACTAACCACTTAAAATGAAATAAAATGCACACGTTGTCTAATTTTCTTTTATTTGAAATGAATACCAGAAAGTCAGAGAAAGATCCACAAAGAGAAAAAGTGAGGAAAACCACAGGAAATATGAGATGGTCACGGTTTCCCTTGAAGTCCTAGTTTCCTGAAAAACCGGGTTGTGATAATGGAAAAACAACGATTATAAAGAAAGTATGAATAAAGACGATATTGTAATGCTCATAAGAACAGGAACAAAGGCAAACTGTAATGGTAATAACCATTAGCTTCTTACTATACTCACAACCCCCGAAGCCTCCGCCAAAGCCTTCTCCACCTGAAAAATTGTGATATTTTGTAAAATGTAAAATATTTTCAACAATATTGTTAATTAAGAATTTCCATGTATATGTATTTGTTTTAGTTACTACACATTTGTACAGCCTGTATGTGGAGTTCATAAGTTTGGTAAGGTCTCTCACGAACACTCACCCTATCAAATAAAGACATACATACATGTGTGTGTGTGCGTGTGTGTGCGTGCGTGCGTGTGTGTGTGTGTGTGTGTGTGTGTGTGTGTGTGTGTGTGTGTGTGTGTGTGTGCGCGCGCGCGCGTGCGTGCGTGTGTGTGTGTGTGTATAAGTGTAAATGTATATAAATATATATACATTATATGTATATACATGTGTGTGTAGGTGTGTGTGTGTGTGTGTGTGTGTGTGTGTGTGTGTGTGTGTGTGTGTGTGTGTGTGTGTGCAT